CCCGCGGCCTCCTCGCAGGGAACCCAGGGCCGCGCGCGCGCCCGCGCTTAAAGGCGCAGGCCCCGCGCGTGCCCGCGCTTAAAGGTGTAGGCAGCCCCCCTCTCTCAAAGGCGCGCGTCTGGCCCCATCTCCTTTGGAGTCGCCCTGGCGTTGCTTGTGGGTGAGAAAAAGTCCTTGGATACAGAGAGACATAGAGAGAGACACAGAGACTGAGACAAAGAGACACACAGATTGGGAGAGACAGAGACAAAAAGATGGGCAGGTTTAGATGGAGAGACAGAAGTAGAATGAGAGAGGCAGATAGAAAAACACATATTCAAGGAGAGATGAAAATACACAGAGACAGTGGGAGACCCAGAGAGAAATAGACAAGGACATGACAGAGATAGACAATGACAGAGACACAGAGAAAGTCAAAGAGACAGAGACACGGGTGGGCCGGGGGTGGGGATGGCAGAGACTGCACGGGGGCAACTCAGCTATGAGGATGGGTATGTGTATTTGTGTGTGTTTCCAGTTCCTAATCACAGCTTTGAATATGGCCTTCCATCGCAGAGTCTCGGGCCCCCAAGCCTGTCTCCTCTCCTTTGTCTTAGCACCATCTCCCTGGGATGTCCTTCCCTAGGTGGGGTTTCCTTACATGGACCCTGCCCAGCAACAGGCCTGATCTTTCAGGCCAGAGAGGAGACTCTGCTCCTTCCCAAGTCTCCTTGCCCTGGCTGCAAGGGGGAAACTTGGCTCCCAGACCCTGTGCCCTCTGGAATTACAGCTAGACCTCAAGAAACACTGGACAGATAACCCATAAAGGATGGAAAAGATAGGAAATGGGACAGAGGCAGAGGACTGGACACGATAGGAAATGGGACAGAGGCAGGGAGCTGGACAGGTTGACCCAGAGAAGTGTGTCCACTGCCTTTCCCTCTCCCTGACTCAGGCCCATTGCCCCACAGAGGACTCTGCTAGAATTGTACTAACACATGACTCACCAGGAGTGGGGGCTGCCTGTCCTGACCATTGTAAGAGGGTAGTGGAGGGGAGGGTGGGGCGTTCCACATGTCTCCTGGCACATGGTATCGCAGGAAGAGGGATGTGGGTAGTGGTTTTACAAGCCTGCCCTGGGAACTTGGTTATAGCAATATGGGGGACCTGATCTTTGGGACCCCTGGTCTGAAGGGAACACAGTCTTGGCCTTTGGTCATAGCCCTAACCCTGGGGGAACCTGAATGGTCACATACCACCCCCAGGGATGCCACCCTCCCTTCTGAGTAGAGGAGTAAAGCCACCTGGGGGTAGGAACATGGATGCACATCACCCTGCATCCCTATCTCTGCTGAAGATTTCTGAACAGACTTTTGGCTCCTTCCACACATGTGTATTGAAAAATTGCAGCTAAAAGTAACTCAGTTCTAAGGCCTGCTTTTCCAGATCATTAGCAAAGTTCATCAGTGCTCCTGGCCCAGCATAGTGGATACCGGTTACTCAGACACTCAGAAAAAGGATGCAGAAGTCTCAGAGACACTACAGAAGTGGTGGAGGTGGGCAGATAGACAGAAATACCTGGAGACAGTCCAAGAGCAGAGTGGGATTAGAATTCAGTGGAACTGGCTGATTTGGGGGTGACCCCAGGTAATGGGCAAGCGATTGGGGGAGAAAGAGGCAGAGGAGGAAGAAAGTTAATAGAGGGTGCAGGTGAAGAGCAGATTACCCCTCTGGGCAACTGGGGCTCAGTTCAGCTGGGGAACATTAAGGAATTTGTAGAACACATCAGAATTATGGTTCCTCCCCTTTCTTCCCCCCTGCAGAATTTCTTCCCCCTGCCCCTGCATTTATACACTAGTCCTTACCCCTTTGGGTGATGGTCATCTCTTTGGTGGGGGGAGAGGGTGGTACTGACAGCCATCTGAGATCTGAGGCAGAAAAGCAGAGAGGGATGCCTTGCATGAAGTAAACCAGTTGTCCTCACACTTTAGTTATGTTGGGATAACCTTAACAATAGATCTCTAGGCCCCAGTCCCAGAGTTTCTGATTCAGTACTTCTAGGTGAGGCCCAAACATTTGCATTTCTAACGAGTTCGCAAGGGATGCTAATGCTGCGGGTCCAGGGACCACACTTTGAGAACCACTGGGCTAAACCAGGAACATCTGCGACTTCCATGGAACTGTCCACTACAGCACTTGACTTCCATGGAACTGTCCACTACAGCTGTGCTGAAAGCTGGGGGATTGAGGGGATTTAGCATTCTAAGCATGTGCCAGAGAAAACGACATATTTAGAGACATAAAGCGGGGCTCGGAAACAGAGAGGGGCAGAGGCAAAGATGCTAGTTCGACATTTACTGTGGCTGTCTGGCCATGGTTGTGTGCTAAATGACTGCAGCAGAAATGTCACCAAGGCAGTGTCAGGTCCTGCTTTCACTGAGCTCAAATTTCAAAAGCAAAAAAGACACCTCTCTAGACAGCCCAGAGTGATCAGGGCTGGGCTGGGAGAAGCTTGGGCTGCAGAGACTGGGACTGTCATGACAGAGGCCTGGCCACAGTGGCCAGGGTGTGACAGGGGACGCACTGGGCAAAGTAATTAAGGGCTTTGATGGCAAAGCACAGGCCAGAGTGGTCAGGGCTCTGATGGAGGAAGCAGAGGGGTGTGGGGTCCCAGAGGCAGAGTCCAACCCTTTAGGCGCCCCCGCCCCCAGTGAGGGAGGCTTCCTGGAGGAGGGGACCTTTATGCTGAGACCTGAAGGATGAGTACAAACAAAGCAGGTGAGCAAAGGGACTCTCTGTGTTGTTTGTGTGCCCTTATGCAGTCTGGGGGTTCCCTGTGGTGCCTGAATAATACCGTGCATGTGTCTGCATGTGCTGTAATCCCTCATTAGCTCCTGCAAGGGGATCCTGGTGGGATGGTGGTTTGGGGGGTTCTGCTTAATTGCCACATTTACTTAATTACAACATCTGGAGAAGGGGACAAAAGCAGCGGAAAGAGCCACAGCAGGAAGAATGAGGTTAAACTGCCTGAGAGCTGAGGGGGCCTTGGGGGGAAGGGGATTGCTCGTATACACACAGAATCTGCCTGAATATACAAATACACACGGGGGACACATCCATGTTCATACATGCACATCATGGACTCTGAGGCTCACCAGAACACAGACACAGCAGGCGCATGGAACACGTATACACCTGGCTTCATGTTCAAATACAGCTGACATACACAAGTGCACACCTAGTCACACAGCTCCGGCATACACACACACACACTCACACTCAGACATGTGAGAGATCATATGTGTGGAAACACACTCTGCCCAGATTCCCTCTTGCATGCATGTGTGATCCACATTCCCCCACATATACACAAGAAACATACTCAGAAAGCCATATCGAACACCTACAAGGGATGGGTACACACACACATGTGCACATGGACATTCAAATCAACGAAATCAGTCTGTCTGTCAAAAAAAGACTTTATAAACTTAGGCCCCTTTCAAGTTGGGGGTTGTTTGAGCAATGATGGATGGAGGTGGTGTCCCTTTATCCTCAACTAGTACCCACCAACCCAAGTCCAGCCAGCGGGGTTCACTGGAATTAGCTCAGCTTTGTAATTAGCACATGAATTGGTACTGGGGACTAAGGAGTCACTTTATTTTTTTGTTTTATTTTTTTAAGATTTTATTTATTTGACAGAGAGAGAGAGAGAAAGAGAGCACAAGCAGGGGGAGCGGGAGAGGGAGAAGCAGGCTTCCCGCTGAGCAGGGAGCCCGATGCGGGGCTCGATCCCAGGATCCTGGGTTCATGACCTGAGCCGAAGGCAGATGCTTAACCAACTGAGCCACCCAGGCGCCCCAAGGAACTCACTTTAAAGGTTAGGTCTGAAGGTGCATTCCCATATGGATGGGTCAAAAGAGATGGGCAGGAAGATGAGTACATCCTCCCACCCTCCCAAACATATACACTAACCACCCTAAATCAGACTGATGGATTTCTGGCAAGCCCTGACTTCTATAGGGCAACCACAAGATCCTGTGCATGAGGCTCTGCTTAACTATGGTAGAAGACCTAATGCAATGTTCAGGATTCTGCTTTAATGACTCCCAACTGTCAACCTGGAGGAGAACTTCCGTAAGAACACGGGGGAAAGTTTACATTTGTGCAAAGAATGGAGGGGAATATACTGATAACTTTTAATTAGTAAACATAGAGCCTTTGGGCCACTGTATGAAAGTGCTATGTGAAAGCCTGAACATCACAACTGGGGATTAGAGGCTCATTTCACCGAATGACAGGGGGATGCCCAAGGTTTACTGCTATCAGGGGACCAGAGAGGAAGGGTCGGAGTATCAGTGCATATGATGTCAGCTACTGTAACAAAGAACTCTCTTGATTTCAGTGACTTCATACAATAGTTGATTTCTTGCCACAGGTGTCCTGCTTGGTTGGCAGCTGTCCTCCATCTGGTGACTCACACAGCAGACTTGTTAATTTTATGCCTCCATTATTTCCTGGGGCTCAGAATTATCTGCTTCCACCTGGCAAATGGGAGGAAACAGGGTGGAGAAGGTTTACTGGCTTCTTAAGAAACTTGGCCCAGAAAAACTGAGAGCTTTCCCCCTAAGGTCAGGAACGCGGCAGGGATGTCCACTATCACCACTGCTATTCAACATAGTATTGGAAGTCCTAGCC